CCTCCCTTCGAGATGCTATATGGGAGGAAGTGTAGAACCCCGATATGGTGGGGTGAGGTTAGACAAAGGGTCATAGGGAGTACCGAAGTAGTACTCAAGACGACGGAGAGGATCCAACAGGTCCGGAGCAGGCTTCAGAATGCTCAGAGTCGGCAGAAGAGCTACGCCGTCAGACGCCAGTTGGACCTGGAATTCCAGGTCGGGGATATGGTTCTCCTGAAGGTGTCACCTTGGAAAGGTGTCATCCGGTTCAGAAAGCGGGTCAAGTTGGGCCCCAGATACATCGAACCGTTTAGGGTTATAGACCGGGTGGGTAAGGTTGCGTATCGACTAGATCTTCCAGCCGAGCTTAGTCAGATTCACAGCACCTTTCATGTCTCCCAGCTGCGGAAGTGTTTGGTAGATGAATCCGCAGTTGTGCCTCTAGAGGATATTCAGCTGGACGACAGCCTAGACTACATCGAGCGACCAGTAGCCATCCTCGACAGGAAGCCGAAGGATCTGAGGAACAAGAGGGTTGAGTTGGTGAAGGTGCAATGGCAGCACCGTAAGGGCTCGGAATGGACCTGGGAGCCGGAGGACGAGATGAGGGAACACTACCCAGAGCTATTCCCAGGCACAGCAGACTTCGAGGACGAAGTATAAAATAAGTGGGGCAGATTTTTAATGCTCGGATCCTGGTATGTATTCTAAAACAACAATTATTCATTTTTTCAAGGGGACTCGACGAGTTGGAGGCCTAAACTCGTCGAGTAGGAATGAGAATTTGGACGCGGGACTTGAAGTCTACTCGACGAATTTAGAGCCTCAACTCGACGAGTAGAGCTTCTAGAGTGAAACCCTAATTTTCAGGGTTTTACACCCTATTTAAGGACCTTAACATTTCATTGTGGCCTCCCTCATCGACTCCCTCAGTCCATTCGTGATCTTGAGCCTTTTGAGTGTGTGTGAATGAAAAGAGAGTGATTCTTTGGTATTTCCTTGAAGGAGTGGAAGTTGGAAGTGCTTGGTTGAAGTAGGAAGCTTTGGATCCAGAGATTTCTTTGTCAAGGCAGCCTTATTGAGGTAAAAAGTCTATACCTTGACTATTCATTTACTAGATCTCTTCATGGAGAGTTTAGGGCCTTAAGAAGCCTATTCTGGAACCATGCATGGATATGAGCATGTTTTGGAGTTATGACTTCAGATCTAGACGTCCTTGGCCTTATGATACTTAAAGTTGTCAGCTTTGTTATGTATTGGACCTTCCCCATGCCCTAGATCTCTTATATAGTTTAGTTTTTGTGTTTTTAGCTTCATGACACCATGAATGAACATAAAGTTAGCAACTTTACGTGGCAACTTAGTCCTAGGGGACCAGATCTATGGTTTGGAAGCATTGAACTCGACTGGAAAGGACTGAATGGGTTTAGACTATGGGGACTCGACGAGTTGTTCATTCAACTCGGCGAGTTGGGTCGTGGTCCCCCAACCTTTTCTGTTACTAAGCAAACTCGTTGAGTCTAGGAGATGACTCAGCGAGTTAGCCATAGTTTTGGTTATGAAGATTGAGGAACTCGACGAGTCCAAGGAGGAACTCAGCGAGTTGTGAGTGAAATGTCCCGACTATGCTATGAGGAGGAACTCGACGAGTTCATGAAAGAAATCGATGACTTGGATCAAGATTTCTAGGGTTATGGATCATGGAACTCGACGAGTTGATGGACAAACTCGGCGAGTTGAGTCAACCAGGATGTTGACTTTGACCTTGTCTTGGACTTTACTAGAGTTGACCCTTAAAGGGGTTATGAGTATGAAATAGTAATTAAAGGAGATTGTTATGTGTAGGAGTTTGAGAGGAGTAGATTCCAGAGCCGAGGACAGTTCAGCTACTTCACGACATTGAGGTGACTTACCTTCCAGTAGAAGTGGGTCTAAGGCACCAATGTCGGCCCACTAGTAGGAGATATAGTTGAGATGATTGTATTTGTGATAATTGTCTGGTATGCCATTATTTGTTATGTTTTATGTGCTAGTATGCTATGATATTATGTGATAATGGTAGGAGGGGTAGGACAGACCCCGTTACCAGTCGAAAAGGCCGAAGGGGTAGGCCAACACCCTGATATGCTAGGCAGTTACCATTTGAAAGAGATCGAAGGGGTAGGCCAGCACCCTGAAATACTAAGCGGTTACCGGTTGAAAGAGACCAAAGGGGGTAGGCCAGCACTCGGATATGCTAGGCAATATGTGTATTGTATGGTATGTGGTATGATTGGGGAACTCACTAAGCTTCGTGCTAACGGTTTACAGTTTTGGTTTCAGGTACCTCTTCTTCGAAGCGAAAGGAGCCGGCATGACTGCAACGCATCACACCATTATTTTCCGCACTATGATGTTCTTCAGATTGTACTCTGACATTATTTTCTTATGATATGTTTTAAGAGATATTTGACTTATGGTTTTTATGATATGAAATAACACTGGTAGCATTTTTAGTAAATGTGTTTTATGAACCTGTGTACGTCCGGCGTACTCAATGACCACCCGCGATCATCCTCCTTCATACGCTGGGCGTACCCAGCTGAACACGTGCATGCATCCTTGCATGCATGGGGCTGATCTGCCAAGTATTTCCATTAGGGGCTAATTTTGCCAAAACCTTCAAAGTACCATAACTTCCTCATTCTATGTCCGTTTCCGACGAACTTTATATCCACGGAAAGGTGACGAGAAACAGTACGCTTCTAGCAACTCACCCTTGCCCAAAAAACATCCGGAACAATAACCCAAAATCCATAAAAGGTTGAAATCTCAAATTACGGTAATACCATTGGCCTCCTAAGACACAATCGCACACTTGGACCACTTAAACCATGGCAACTGCATCCAAAATGGGCTAAATCCTTCCTTTCCCGAAGCCCTAAACCCTATGGCAACTGATGATTGGGCCGCAGCCCCGAGTAACGAAGCACTTTCAAAACCGGGTGTTACATTCAAGAACCTACAACAAGATAAAAGAATATGTTCTTTAATCATAATAATATAATATCACTTCTACCTTTGTTGGTTGAAAAAAGAATTAAAAAGAGATAAATAACCACGTTAACATCGGAGTAATGAATAAATAGGAAAGATCAATATATTTATATTTATTCACCCATAATAACAACATACTTATAGCATGCAACTTACACAATATACTTTAGTTTTTACATAAGACACTTACCTTTTTACTGATAATAATTAATAGCAATAACATAAAATTTGTAAGCATCTTACATACAAATTACAGGTTATATATTGTTATTGTTGGTAAGGAAATGTAAATACATTGTTATAAACTTAAGAACATGGTTATTTTTACCTCAAATGTTAGATAGTGTAAAAGGCTATTTATAAATTTAAGCATATTCATGCATAGTATTGATGATGAAGAGATTGCAGTTCCATGCATATCACGTGCACGTGCACCCTAAAAAAACAAAAAGTATAACTACAAAAAATATAAAGAGTAAAAAAGGAAATATTTTTAATTTTTAATAAATATTTATATCAGGGATATTTAGTCTCATACTTGATGTAGTTGCCAAGCTGCACAAAGTTGCATATGCACATGTTTGCAGTGAAACAGAAATCGAAAAATTAATTGGTATTTTGTCAAAGCTTTTCTTGATATCACAAGGGATAATGCCCATTGAACCTGTAACAAAAATACCAACTTATTTTCAATTAATTGATAATTAGATAATCAGATAACTGAAAGTACATTGCTATTTATTGATTTGATGAAAGAAATAAAAGGTGTATTGATATTTACCTTGTAATTAATAGAGAAGGTTTCCATACCGGTGATCAAGGGCTCTTCTACAACATCAGACTCTGCAACTGTCTCACCACCTGTTTGAAGATCTTTCAGAATGCTCAATCTCTTTTAACAAAGAACCTGTGTCCTGAAAACCCATAATAATAAATAAAGTATTAATCATTTCTCAAAGTAGAATGTTGTAATAGGAATAAATGAAACTGACCACAGAACATGTGACATCTTCATGCAAAGGATCTGCTGCAGCTGCTGTGGAACGCAGTTCAAGGTCCAACAGAGACTGAAAATTGAAGTCTGTTAAATAAAAACGTAAATTTGCAAAAAAAAAAAAAATCAGGTTCCCTTCATTTATTTGTGTATTATATTTATAGCATCAAACTCTTTATGCAGAAAGAAAGTCATGAAATTGAGTATTTTTCCATAAGTCATATGTTTACAAATGTCATTTATTTTCTCAGATAGAACTTAATGGTTAAAAAGAGAGTGAGAAACGATAATTCTTATACATGAATAACTTTTATCCCTAACTATACATATGGGATATATGATCATAAGTGGATGATACAAATAAGGGCAAATTACAGAAACAGCATTATATTTTGGGCAATTTTGCGGTTTAACCACTTCTACTTTATTTTTTTCCAATCAAACCATTAAAGTTTCAGACATATTTCCAAATTAAACAATTTGACCCGATATAATAGGTCAAAATGGTTAATTTGGAAGAAAAGTCTTAACTTTTATGGTTTGATTGGAAAGAATAAAGTATCAGTGGTGTAATGACAATAATTGCCCAAAATATACTTTGTTTTTTGTAATTTGCCCTGTAAAGATAATATGAGGTAAATGGATAAAGACCTGAAGCTTCTCAACAGAGATCTCATTTGGTGTTTTATCAAGTTCATCATGTGCAATACCCATAAAATAAACCAAGAAATCATCATGTAACTCAATCAAATCAAATATCAAACACACTGCATACTGCATAGCATATACACTTTCTCCATACGGGTTTAGAATTTTCAACCTCCCTTTCTATCTTTACAGTATTCTCTTCCCCAAAACATTTTTTTTGCCAAAGCAAACCAAACACCACTAACTGAATGTTATGTTCCTCTTGCATGAAAGCAGAAAAACAAAACCACCGCTTTGGCAATGGAAGCATAAAATCAATTACATACAATTTACATCATGTTTATTGATGGCGGGGGGCAACCAGGTCCTCATGTAACCTACTCAACACTAATTTAACGGGGATACAAGCAACTAATGTGGGAAATGGCTCTGGTTTCATCATCATCATCATCATCATCCCTATCCCTTGTTCACCTTCTGCTTTCAAATCCATATTGTGTTGCTGTTGTTGCTGCTGCTGGGTCCCACCTGTTAATGATAACGTCCTTATTTTCTGACTGTTGCAATATGAGGTGGTCCTCCTTTGTGGCTTTTTTGATGCAGCCCACTTTCTTCCCTTGCTGTTGCTGCGATTTACACTTGCTTTTCCATCTTCATCATAATACTCCTGAAACTGAAAGGAGGCCACCGCCTCTTCTTCTTCTTCTTCTTCCTCTAATGTTGATAAAAATTGAGGCGGCCGTGCAAGTGCAACCCCCCAACACTTGGCGGTCCTCCTGGCGGTCCTCCATGGTTGAAGCGGCGCACTTGTGTCACCACCACCTAATAATAATAATGATTCCATTTGGAACATATCAGCAGATGAACCATCTTCCACGGCTTCTACTGGAATAGGGTGACCCACTATGGCCTTGTCATTCAATTTGCTCATCAGGGAAATCATGGGCACATGTTCTCTCTGATAACTTGATTGCACTCCTACTTCAACATCAATCAACATCCGGGTCCCATGCCTCCTCACATCATCGTCGTCATCATCATTATCATCATCATCGTCATCGTATATTTGGTACTCACCTGAGTATGAGTATGAGTATGAGTATGAGTATCCCTTCAAACAACAAGGGTAAGGATCAGGATCATCATCCCAACTCAACATGTCTAACAAGCCTCCACTAGCTTCGCTTCTCAAACTTAAACTTGTGTCAATTCCATTGAAACCCGGCATCCAGTGGCTGGAATTTGTAGCTACCTTTCTCTTCCTGAAAATGCGACTATTCCTTTTTCCCTTCAGCTGCCATTTGGAGACTGTTGCTACGGAATCATCAGGAACTCCTCCTGACTCATCATCACTCATGCTCTCCTCATGTACCCCTTGCCTTCCAAATGCTTTTGGTATGAATTCAACATCTTCAGCTTCATCTAAACCACAAATCAAAATAATAATAATAATAATAATAAGATCAAACAAAAAGCAATAAGAGAGAGAGAGAGAGAGAGAGAGAGGAATAGTTACAAACAAGTGCAACCAGAAAACTAAGCAGGAGGGACTCGATACAATTCGAACAGTAATATGAATAACACTTGCAAGCAGCCATTGGGCCTCACAAATTTAAATGTCACAACATATAAATACAAACATGTACTTATACTAAACACATATTTGAGAATAACTATCTTTGGATATTAATGTAAATACTTGACAGTCGATACATTTTTCAATTTAACAGTCTTCGGAATTCATAATGGGTGTTTATGCCTTTTGGACTGAAAAATCCCTCTGCTACGTTCCTAAACATCATGAACATGGTGTTTAAGTTCCTAATAAGGATGTGTTTTTTGCTTTTTTATGACATTGGGATTTATTCAAAGAGTTGTAGAGAAGCATAGGGAGGATCTAGACTCAATCCTACTATGTCTGGGTATAGTTGTAAAGAAGAGTATATGTGTAATTACTATGCAATCTTTGGCACACTGGATCAATGTAAAGTCAAGAGTGTGAATGAACACAAATTAATGCATGCAACATCTTTGAGAAGCAAAAGCCAACGTTCACAACAACAATGGAATTAATTATGTGTCCATAGGCCAACTGAGAATTTCAAACCACTAAGCATGACATTGCAAAATAGAAAAACAATGACATTATCCAGAAGAAAAACAATCAAATATGAACCTGAAAGTGCAGCCATTGCGTCATATGTGTCCGACATCAGAGATTCAGTGCCAGAAGAATCAGTTTCAGTGTCTTCATTAGATTCAGTAGTGTTTTCTTCACTCAATGCAACAGGGAAGGACTCGTTCCTTTTCTCAAACTTGGGTGCTGAATTTTCCACTTGGTCAGGGATAGCTTCTCTAGTGCCACCTGGATCATTGCCACCCGTTGCACGGTGTACTACTTTTCTCTGCTCCTCCCCTCCATCAGCCTTTGACTGCAAGGGGTGAGTGTGGTCATGGTGGGGCAGTTTTGCACTACTCAGGAGTACCTGAACAAGAGGACGATGTCTGTCACGCCTCTTACCAACTGATTCCTCCATATTCCCCTCTTGTGACCTTTTCCTTTTTTTCTCCAACAACTTTTTACTACTGACAATAACCGTATTTTATGGTGTAAGGACATCTGAAGCATTCCTATGGGAACCATTTGAAGCAGCTAAGGAAGAGAGTTTATGCTTGAAAAGAATAGGACGTACAGGTTCATCATCTACATTCAGGCGACTCCTTGACTGAAAGGAAAGACCCTTCCTTTTGTCATCAAGAGACAGATCCACATGTTTACCACTGTCACGTGATAATACTGGAGTTATAGTTGTGTCTTTTCCTACTAACTTGGTATTATTAGATTGGACACCTGGTTTCCCATATTTCTTTTCCAGCACTTGCTTCTCAAGCTCAAGCGCATGAAGGATAGCATATTCCCTATGTGCATATTTCTCTCTTTTCTTTGGAGGCATTCTCTGTGAAGTTTCCGCCCTCTTGATGCAGTCATCAAACTCACCACAGTGGAAAGGTTTAACTCGCTTCGACTTCTCTAGGTTGTACCAATCCCTATTCATGAACCGTGTGTGCAGACCGATGTTAGATCGATCTGTGATAGTTTTTCATTGATGATATCTTGTTCTATTCCAAGACTCGGGAGCAGCATGAGGAGCACTTGCGGGAGGTGTTGGATACCCTAAGGAGGGAGAGCTTGTATGCCAAGTTCTCCAAGTGTGAGTTCTGGTTGCGCGAGGTGCAGTTTCTTGGGCACCTTGTCAACCAGAACGGGATTTCGGTCGACCCGGCCAAAGTGGAGGCCGTGATGAGGTGGGAGGTCCCGAGGTCTCCATCTGAGATTCGGAGCTTCCTGGGACTGGCAGGTTATTATCGGAGATTCATTCAAGACTTCTCCAAGATAGTCGTGCCCTTGACCCGGTTGACAAGGAAAGTTGTGGTCTTTCGCTGAGGGCCTGAGCAGCAGGCCGCATTCGAGATATTGAGATAGAGGTTGTGCGAGGCGCCAATCTTAGCCCTGCCAGAGGGTGTGGAGGATTTTGTTGTGTATTGTGATGCGTCCATCTCGGGTTTGGGCGCGGTACTGATGCAGAGGGGGCATGTTATCGCCTACGCTTCGAGACAGCTGAATCCTCATGAGGCGAACTATCCGACACATGATTTAGAGTTGGGGGCAGTTGTTTTCGCCCTCAAGATTTGGCGTCATTACCTTTATGGGGTCTGTTGTACCATTTACACGGACCATAAGAGTTTGATGTATCTCATGGATCAGCCGAATCTGAATATGAGACAGCGTCGATGGCTAGATGTGGTGAAGGATTACGATTGTGAGATCCTCTACCACCCGGGGGAAGGCCAATTTCGTGGTCGATACGCTTAGCTGCAAGTCAGCGCCGATCAGAGACATCTGCATGAGGATGACCGTGGTGACTCCGCTGTTGGAGCAGAATCGAGAGGCCCAGCAGGAGGCTATGAAGGAGGAACATCGTAAGAGTGAACGTATTGTGGGCCAGGTTTCCTCCTTCGATTATAACAGTCGTGGATTGTTGACTCTACAACGTAGGGTGTGGGTCCCATATTATGGAGGTGTGCGCCAAGTATTAATGGAGGAGGCGCACAAATCCAGGTTTTCTAATCATCCGGGGGCGACGAAGATGTACAGGGATCTTCGTCTTGATTATTGGTGGCCCTGCATGAAGCGGGATGTAGCTTGGTTTGTTGAGAGATGCCTGACGTGCAGGAAGGTCAAGGCCGAGCACCAGAGGCCTCACGACAAGACCCACCCGTTGGATATCCCATTGTGGAAATGGGAGGATATCACTATGGATTTCGTCACAAAGCTTCCCAGGACCGCACGGGGAGTGGATTCGATTTGGGTCATTGTGGATCGATTGACCAAGAGCGCCCATTTCATTCCGATTCAGGAGAGCATTTCAGCCAAAAAGTTGGCCGACATCTATATCAGAGAGGTAGTGGCTCGGCACAGAGTTCCAGTCTCGGTGATTTCTGAAAAGGATGTGCGGTTCACTTCCAAGTTCTGGAAGAAGTTTAATGACAAGCTGGGTGCTCGTCTGCACTTTAACATCGCTTTTCACCCGCAGACGGATGGTTAGAGTGAGCGGACCATCCAGACTCTGGAGGATATGCTGCGGGCGTGTGTTTTAGACTTCGGAGGTAGTTGGGATACTTACCTTCCCTTGGCTGAGTTTTCCTGTAATAACAGTATCATTGCGAGTTTGACCGTCCTCCCTTCGAGATGTTGTACGGGAGGAAGTGCAGGACCCCGATATGTTGGGGTGAGGTTGGTCAGAGGGTCATGGGGAGTACCCAAGTGGTACTTAAGACTATGGAGCGGATCCAACAGGTCCGGATCAGGCTTCAGACTGCTCAGATTCGGCAGAAAAGTTATGCCGACAGGTGTCATTCGGACCTGGAATTCTAGGTCGGGGATATGGTGCTCTTGAAGGTGTCGCCTTGGAAAGGCGTCATTCGGTTCAGGAAGCGGGGCAAGTTGGGCCCCAGGTACATTGGACCTTTCAGGGTCGTCGCCCGGGTGGGCAAGGTGGCGTATAGGTTGGACCTGCCAGCCGAACTCAGTCAGATTCATAGCACTTTCCACGTCTCCCAGTTACGGAAGTGTCTGGTGGACGATTCGGTAGTGGTTCCTTTGGAGGATATTCAGGTGGATGACAGCCTGAACTACATTGAGCGGCCTGTGGCGATCCTCGACAGGAAGTCGAAGGATCTAAGGAACAAGAGGGTGGAGCTAGTGAAGGTGCAATGGCAGCACCGCAAGGGCTCGGAATGGACCTGGGAGCCGGAGGACGAGATGAGGGAGCACTACTCCGAGATTTTTCCGGATTCGGCAGCAGACTTCGAGGACGAAGTCTAAAATGAGTGGGGGAGATTTGTAACACCTGGTTCCTGGTACGTATTTAAATTCAAGTATTTTGGTGTTCTACTCAGGGACTCGGCGAGTTGGAGGCCCAACTCGTCGAGTAGACTCGACATTATGCAGGGGTTTTAGTGATCTACTCGACGAGTCGGGGGCCGACTCGACGAGTAGGAGCTGTCTGGACAAAACCATAATATTTCGGTTTGCACCCTATTTAAACAACTTATAACGCCCCAACACAGCCTCCATTGTTCCTCCCAACCCAGAGAAAGCCCTAACTCGAAACCCTAGCCATTATTATGTGTTCTTGAGCTTGTTGGTACCTTTTTTGTGTTTTTGAAGTTGTAAAAGGGGGAGGAAGCTTGGGAGTTCAGTAGAACAAGAAGATCCAGAGGTTTTTCTCCATTCTCAGCTCATTCAAGGTAAAAAGTTGGAACCTTGACCATCTATCTCTTAGATCTTGATTTGGGGCTATTTCCTACCCTTTTTATGAGTTTAGAGAAGCTATAATCGGATTTTGTGTGTGTGCTTGGAGTTGCACTTCAGGTCTGGAACTATTGGGGGTCCTTATGGATAAAGGTGCAACTTTGTTGCCACAAGCACCCATGCATCTTATAGACTTCTTTTTATGGCCTTTGAGTCAAAAACCCCATGCATGGACATCAAGTTCGTAGCTTTACTTATAACATGGACCCTAGGAGGTCAGTGTTGGGTTTTGAGCATTCTAACACTCCTATGGTTTACATGCAACCCTATAAACCTTGGATCTATGTTTTCTTCTAAAAATACATGCAAAATAAATTTCAAAGGTTTACATCCTAACTAGCATGGCATGGGAACTTGGAATCATAAATACGAGTAGAAATGACATACCTTTTAGTGGTGGTTGATTGCTTGGAGTTTGAGAGCCTAGAACCAATAGTGTGGATGCCTCAAATGGAAATCACAAATCACCACAAACTTTGAAAACTCTTGAGAGAATAATGCACACTCTTGAAATCGGCCACCACTCTTGTTCAAACACAACTAGTGCCAAATCAAGTGCCAACGACTCCTTTATTAGTGTGGAGGATTAGGGTTACATCCATGTAAACCCTAATACCCATGACTTTCCTTTCCAAGGATCCATGGGTTAAAAGCGCCATGGACCATCCATGGACTTCCATGCAAGCCTAGCCCCATACTAAATAATCATTAGCCCACACTATATAAATACAAGAGCCCATATTTAATTAGTCACCTTTTGATCACTAAATTATTCTCAATTAGTTTAAGATCAATACTAAT